ACTACTCGTGGAACTCATCGCCGGTCCTTCAACCAGACACACCTGAAGCACTTGAGTGCATCTTCTAGTTGGGCGCCCCGAGTTAGGCGGACAGGAGGCCTCGAAGCCTCTGCTCGTAAAATATTGGTCGATCTTAATAAGCATCGAATTCATGCACCTTATTTCTTAGTGTCAACTAGAGTTTTAAGTCATCTTGACAGGGCAGACCTGCTGACTATAGATTGGGGTGACGAGTAGGCTGTCCCTAAGATTGCCGCTTAGTCAAGGGAGAAGTACAAGGAGGTACAATGAAGTGAGGTAAGAGTGCAGGTAAGTGTTGTGGGGCAACCAGAACTCTTCAGTAACACGCGTCATCTGTAATTGACAGCGACGTGATCAATTAGAGTAAAAATCATACGATCACGCAGTCGGTAGCAACTAACGTGATGAGAATATGTGTACCAGAGTAATCGGAATGAGGCTGGACGTTACCGTGGTGCGACCCATTGAGCTATGCTGGGTGGTGCTTTTGCACCTTCATAGCCATTTATACCAGATTGGTAAATGGTTAGAGGCCATACAAACTCAGCCTCCTGGTCCTCCAGGTTGGGGGTTGGAATGATGTGGCTCCTTATTCCTTAAAACGGACTCCTTGTAGCCCAACGTCAAACCCGACACCATGCGGTCAGATTTTTGAACCAAAAACTTTGGTTGAGAACCCTAATAGTTCTCCTGTCTAGACCTGGGCAACCTGACAGTATCCTGCCCACGCAATACAATGAATTTCTCTTTAAAAAGTTGTTTGACGCTTTGGCCACCGCAAAGGATAGTCAACGGTGCCCCATCTGCTGCATCGAGCAACGTGGATAGGGGTTTGGATGCTACTTCTCAAGCCTACCCATGTTCTTATTCCCCCCTCTTACGCCTTTCACCCTTACCGTCCTGTTCCAGATTCACTTTTATCCCGCGTTTTCAAACCCTAATTCTTGGCCCTCCCCCACTTTGCTTTGCTACACTTTTACCTTTAAGTTTCAACTCACATGTGCACGCGGAGCGTCATTCCTGCACTATCGATAAGCCCATGTCCAAGCAAGCGGCCAAGCCCAGTTCATCGACTTCCATTTGGAGCCCTCGATCCTCCTTCAGATTGGCATGCCTCAATGTACGCACATTACTACAGATCGGTCAACAGGCAGCACTTGCCCGAACATTAGAGACCCTCTCAATCGACATCTGCTGCTTATCGGAGACCCGTCTGCAAGATTCGAGCTCTGTGCTCACTCTGCGATCCCCTTCAGATGACACTAGCAGCACTTTCTCATTGCGCTTATCCGGTGACGATGCAGCTTCGAGCACCGGCCAAGCCGGTGTTGGTATTGCCCTGAGTCCCCGGGCTGAAACTGCTCTGGTTGATTTTATTCCAATCAGTAGCCGGTTGTGTGCGGTCCGATTGGCTGACTAGTTCAAAGTTACCAAGTCGCGCGGGTCTAACAGGTATCTATTCGTTATCGCAGCCTATGCACCCACATACTCCAGCGATGATTCGGTAAAAGACGACTTCTGTCGCCAATTGAATGAGCTCCTTCGCCACAGAAGAAGCTCGGACACTGTTGTGCTGGCGGGGGATCTGGACGCTCAAGTTGGAAAATTATCCACAGATGAACTGCTTCTGGGCGGCCAACATGGTATAGGCTCCCGTAATGATAACGGTGAGCGGTTACTTCATTTGTGTGAACATGCTCGCTTATTTCTTGCGGGCACTAATTTCCGACACAGCACCCACCTGAGGGAGACTCGGCCTCCACCAGCATCGAACCAGCTATGGATGTAAATCGATCACATTGCGATAAGTTACCGAAGGAGAGGCTGCGTCCAGAAGTGCCGCTGGATTTGGAGCACCTGTGTGGACACCGACCATGCACTTGTATGTGCTGACCTGCGGATGCGTTTTGGCGCACGCCCAAAACGACGTCGTGAGCGCATTGACACCAGCCAACTGGCGAAACCAGCTGTTCTGAAAGCCCAGCAAAGTACGCTGTCATGCGAGTTGAGCAAACGCTCACTATTCTCATAATCACCCGACCTTACTAGCAGCAGGAAAATCCTCATGTGGTAAGTCTAATCGCCAACATGGACATTGGGTCTCTTCGCAGTCTCTGGAACTTATCGATGCTCGCCGGCATATTCCGGCTGGAAGCGAACACAATGAAACTCGCAAAGAGCTCCGGGCAAAACTCCGTGCAGGCCTGAAGAGAGACCGCGAATTCTGGTGGTCTCATCGTGCATCAGAGATGGAAATGGCCGCTGCCCGTGGCAACCATAGTAAGTTATTCCGGCTGATATGGGAAACGGGCAGCAGGAGACCTGATGTTAGTGAAACTATACGTGACGAGAGTGGACAGCCTATCCACAACTTGTTAAAACGCTTGAAGCGTTGGGCTGAGCACTTTGAAAGGCAGCTGATTCGGTCGGAATTGTTAGATTTCTCGCCGGCCCCTGATCGCCCCGCTCCATAGGCTAACCCTTGGGATCCACCCTCTCGCTCAGAAGTCGAACATGAGATCGGACTGTTGAAGTTGAACAATGCCTCCAAATTAATTGCCTGTCATCCTTCACAGTTGACTGACACTCGTGAGAGCCATATTCCTGAAGAGCAAGCCGGGTTTCGTCGAGGTCGTGGCTGCATTGACCACATCTTAACTTTGCGTCAGTTGTTGGAGCACCGTCACATATATTGGCGGCCCACCGTTGTCGTGTTCCTCGATATCAAAGGCGCATTCGATTCAGTGGATAGACGTGCCCTTTGGGACTGTCTACTCAGGAATGGTGTACCTGAGAAGTATGTAAATATTATCCGAGCATTATATGCGCGTAGCACGGGCAGAGTGAGAGCTTACGGCAAGCTGTCGTCATCCTTCAATCTCTCCAGCGGTGTGAGATAAGGATGCCCGCTGTCACCTTTCCTCTTCAACTTCGCTATTGATGAAGTCATGGAAATCGCATGCACAGGATACGACTTAGAAGGTGTGGATCTGCTCCCAAGAGAACCACTTCTTGACTTGGAGTATGCTGACGATATTGCCCTAATCTGTGACAGCCACCAAACGCGCCAAGCGGCACTGAACAGACTACCACTGGCTGTCCGTCACTACAGGCTTTGCTTTGCACCCTCGAAGTGAAAAGCTTTCCTCCAACATTGGTCTGGACCGCCTCTTTCGCTGACCCTTGATGGGGATCAGCTAGAAGTCGTTCCGAAATTCAACTACCTGGGAAATTGTATCAGCGCCCGTGGGATTGAAGATGAGATCACAAACCGTATAGCAAAAGCTCGGGGCACTTTTGCCAACCTTCGCCACTTATGGCGCCGGCGCGACATCACTCTTGCCCTGAAGGGTAGAGTGTACAATGCAGCAGTACGTTCGACCCTACTGTACGGTTGTGAAACCTGGCCGCTTAAAGCAGCGGACCTGAAGAGGCTAGTTACGTTCGACCACCGGTGCCTTCGCAATTTAGCTCACATCTGGTGGGAACACCGCGTGAGCAACGAGCGTGTCCGACGCCTTGTTTATGGCACAGGAAAAGGAACTGAACCGCTCAGCACCGTTATTTTACGCACCAGGCTCCGATGCCTCGGCCACGTGTTACGCATGCCAGCCCACCGACTCCCGCGACGTGCGTTGTTTGCGCGCCGGCGGTGTGGATGGAAGAAGAGGAGAGGTGGCCAAGCGATGACTTGGTTGAAAGGAATGAAGGCCCTCACTTCGTAGCTGGCCTCGGTTGGAGCGTCTCGGCTTCCTAGTTGTGGTCCGAAAGACGACGAACACGTTTGGCTGGATACACTTGGTGATATGGCTAAAAGCCGGCCTCAGTGGCGTTCGTGCTGTGAGTTTTTTGTCCCACCCCATCACTCTTAGCCTCCTCCTCCACGTTCGATCTCACTATGTAATCTTACATAATTTTGCATAGTAATTTTTTGCTACATAGTAGCCGGCTGGTAGCTTACCGGAACGATGCTCATCCGTTACCGGTAGCTCAGCTGGCTTTTACCTGTTGCATTTTATTCCCTTTTTTTCTTTTAGGTATTGCGGCACAGTAGCTGAGGTGTTCCCCAGCTCTAGCTAACGTGTACAATGATGATGACCAGGTGATGACCGGTAACGTACAGGATGCGTTCGACACATGATTAAAACGTTTCTACCTTTAGTGTCGGCAAAACAAACATAAACTCCGAAAACGCCTGCGGATTAATATACCCTGCTTGTTTGAGTGCTTGTATCAGCACGCTATTTCAGTGTGAGGTAAGTTATCGACAGAACTGAACGTTCGGCTTGTTTGAGTAGCGAAAAATGAAGGTAGTGCGGAAACAAGCAACAAGTAACTACTACCTTTTAGATAATAATTACTTAATCCGAATGAATATCAAAGTCGTATGGTACGCATGAGAATACTCACCTATGCCTAGCCCAACCCTGATGGGAGGAATACAGCGAGCCACAGATCCCTCATTACTACCAATGTGAAATGAGCAGTAGTTGGATCCGAGTATGGCGACAGCAGCAGATGCATTGCGACACCACTGTCACCCATGGGTGTTTCATTAACGCCAGCGTGCCCGTGACCGGGCGGTTCATGCAGATGATCTGTAATCCACATGTTGCACGTTCGATTCAATGTACGTGTGACGAGCTTGCAGCAACTCTAGCCCGCACGCGACTGCCGGCTGCGAATCGTCAGTACGTGGTACCGGTGTACCGTTGATGCTCTTTTTCCAATTATCCTGCATCTTCGGATACACAGTGTGTATCGACTTTCATGGGGTTTAGAGTGATAGAGAGCGCTTCTTGCTAATCGTTCGTATAGAAAGCGCATGGTCAGAAACGGACAATGAGGAAACGTTGGAATAAAACAGTGCTAATGGTGAGAAAAAATTCAGTGAGTTGCCAAAAGACGAGAATACGGATATGCGTCGGCTTGGACAAAAGGAAACTCAGCACACACAAGTGTATGCACAAAAACGGTGGTCACTCACTGGCCTCCACGTCTCGTATGGACCGTTGCATAAACAAAGTTTCTTTGGTTGGATTCAGCGATGGATCGGTTAGGGTGTCTGCAGAAATGCATCAGTGTGAAAAAAGAAAGTGAGCAATGAAAACTGCATTAGCAGAGGGTCGGAAACCGTAAATAATATGATCTTGGAATAAGCACGTCCTGTCATTTTATACCCAATGTCCATCTCCTCGGACTACCGAGTTGATTTGAATGAGTTACTCAGTATGGCAGAGGCTCCTCAAAGAAGGAAATATACATGGGCTAACAAAGTGTAGGAGAGGTGTGAAGCACAATTACATATTCTTACAGAGAGACAGTTGAGACAGCGGATTGCAGTGAACGATAGGATTGCTGAGAAACTCAAGATCAAAACTGTGAGGGCCGATATGTTTATCCCGTGGTGGTTCACCGGCAAACAAACAAGGAAGAGGGTTATACTTGGTGAAACCAAGATCAATTAGGCCGTACTTCAGCATACACGAAACAGCCAATCTACGGAACTCATTTTTGGAGAAGGAAACCAGAGCGCAGCGCTTTTCAACGAGACACCACATCTAGCGTTCTTTCTTCCACTTCCCAATTTTCTTATTTTCCATCCTTCCTTTCCCAACCAACGGGGTGCCTAAATTGCTCTTTCGAATCAAGGGTCGAATTTCACATCTGATTTTCCAACGATCGCACACTATTCCAGAGCGAGTAACGGGCAACGCACTGTAAGAAGTTAATGATAAGATAGTCATCAGCAGTACGCCAGCACACTGTATAGACGCTTCGCTGCCATGCGATCACCACCGGTCGCGCGTGGGCTGAGTATACCGCGATGACGCCAGCCTCTATGCGAATTCGAACCGGTGACCTAAGGATTGCAAGGTAGGCGTGCAATCCGTTCGGCCACCTGCTCTTGTTGCTTCTTCGTACTCTTATCTCCTTGTTACTCTGTGGCACTTCTTTTGTGACCTTCCGTGTTTCTTTCGCTGCCTTCATGTAGCTTGAGCTAACACTTAGTGTGTTTGCATTGTTCCAAAGTGATAACCCCGGGGTATCCAATGTAGTACTTGCAAATGCTGGGTGTGTGGTCAAAGGCGTTGCTCGAAGTTTACGAAAACGCCGACATCGTATCATCGCTGCTACGTTGGTAAGGCAACCGCTGCATCAAAACGCAGAAAGATACTTATCCGTTTTTTCTGCTAGACGTATCAGAAAGCGCAGCACAGTGTCTTCCAGTGGCCCTACAAAAGACACAACAAGCCAAAATGAAGACCTTAATCGCATTTGCCTCTCGATAGTGTAGCGCGGTGCATTCAGTCTTTACCGTACCACAGGGTCACTTCAAATAGTCAGCCGGAAAACATGCCTGGTCAGTACGAAAAGCAGTCGGGCTTGTTCCCCTTATAACCTGAATGAAGTGCGCTCAGCTGTCACATATGGAAGCACCTCTTACTATTATCGTAGTTGACCACGTAATCACTGACGAGCAGCTGTGGAGCATCGTACACAGGGGATCCTCCGCAGTGGCTACGAGCACCGTCAGATGACCCTCCGTGTTGTCAGAAACTGGTGTGCTCCATCCATGCAAACACCGTTAGGTGATTTTTCAGGCACCGGAGTCTGACAATTCCGACCAATAAATTTGTTGTGAGTATGATTTTGCATTCCTACAAAGCTTGAAAATTAAGCTCTTGGACCTCGATGAACAAAATATTCGTACGAAGTGAATAGTACGTCTTGGGGAACGTGCTATGCTTTTGCGAATTGTTTTTGAAAATGTCGTCACTCCTGCGCCTCGTATCTCCCACCTTTGATGTTTAAAAGTCTTAAGAAATCACGTGCGTCGACATCGCTCTAGAAGAGTGTAACTACCTCCGAACGGTTAACACTAAAATTAAACGACGGACCCAGTAAGATAAGAGCAAGTTGCAGATAGTAAATTTTCGAGTTCTGTACAAGCGCCAGCCGATAAACAGGCCGGTGCTACTGATGGTACGCAGACCAAACTAATTGCCCGACTCGTTCTGGTGCTTATAAACGTTCAGCCTTACCAGTGAATCTGACGAGGTACTTCTCTGAGTAAAGTAGCATCGAGCATATATATATATATATATATATATATATATATTGTTTGAGTGAAACATTTTTCCAAGCTGATTTTATTGATCCAGAAATTTATATCGATGGACACACAGCACTTTGGTGAGAAGGACAAAACGGCGTTTTGTTGTACATCAAGTCGGGCATGCGAGGGAGACTCATGTCCACGCATCACAGTGCTACCGTATATGCAAACAACTTTGGTGCACAGTAACTGGGAGGGGGCGAATGAACTGGATGTGGGAGCCATATACCAGCCATATACCAGCGGCCAGACCGAGGTTGTACAGCAGCGTCCGAAATGGCGTAATAGTTTTTTTGTTTGGCGACTGTGATTTTCCACATGTTGATCGGCTACATCACAGAACTATGCGTGGAAGTAACATCGTCGAATCCACTTTTGTTGACAAGATGATGGGGATGAGTGCTGTGCAACACATCCAGTAACGAACAAGACATCTTCCTAGGCAACCTAAAAGTTATTTTGTGCTAATTTTACAAGAGGTGAGCAGCCACTAGAATCCACTGGGTCCAGCGGCCACTCCACCGTTTCAGCCGTCCTGTGTTTACCATCATTGGAATATTTACAATTGCTTACGATACACGCTCATCAGCAACTGTGAAATATCCAAAAAGATTTTTGCGATTATCGAACGCAGGCGATGAGATAAGACCTTAACCTAGTGTGATTTTTCGGTTACCTCCACGATCAATTAACCTAGGCTGGGTGGCACTTACCAAATGCCAGACATGTCAGTGGTTAGGGGTCAGCCTAACTCAGTCTCACAAACCTTCTCGGAGGTGAGGGAGAGGTTGATGGCCCTCTTCCCTTAAGACCTAGCCATTAGAAACAACAGGTCTATAGATTATAAGCACACAGATCGAATGGCGTAGAGCGCGAGCAACATGCATTGTCCCTAACGATGGAAGGTATCGCCCAGTTCCTAATGGCTTGTTAACGCCCACCTGAAGCGATGCGGCTCCTAGTCAAATTGGTGCAAACACGCCAACTCCCACTTACAGTTGGTCGTGATCGCATGTGCGTAAATACTACGGTAGTAAAACACATGTGAAGTGTTCTAAATCATCAAATGCTGTGTGTCACAGGCTTCAAGCAGATCCCAACGGGTCTCTTCAATCACACTTCCGAGCTGGACTTGCTCCCCACTGGCTCGTGAGGGAGACTGTTGAGTCAAAGGCTGCAGATGGAGTCCTTCAAGCAAACCCCCATATCGCCCACTGCCTTGTGGGTCAGACCGCCAGGTCAAAGGCCAGGGGTAGGGCACCTCAAACAAAACCCTTCTATTGGAATGGGCAGCCGGAGTATCATCTGCCCTCTCGATTACGTCGACAATACACTCTATTTTTCTACTGCTGCTTGTTTTTCTCTCTCCTCTTCCCTTCAACTATTAAGCAAGAGACTGTCGCTGACCTCAAAGCTGCCGGCATCGATACATACAATCGATACATACATCGACACATCCAATCTAGAGTATCAATTCACATTGGTCCATTTAACGTCCGAACTCTAGGTCAGATCGTTAGCAGGTTGCATTAACTCACTCTTCCCTCATTTTGTATTTATGTGTGCTGTACCTTCAAACCACGCATGCAAGATAAAGCGTCATGACGAACCCTTGAATCTCTGGTTCTGAATCTCCTGACAAAGACTACACTTCGCGTCCCTGGCTATACCCAGTTAATGGCTCAAGGTATTTACGGTGTCGGTATCGCCCTCAGAAAACATGTGGAAGGCAATCTGCCCGGCTGCATATCGGTGAACAGTCGTATGTGTGTGGTTCGACTTCGAACAAGTACCTTCGTCTCCGTTTATGCCACTATTGACTGCAGTTCGGAGGGTTTCAAATAAGATTTTCACCACCATCTTTCGTCTCTTTTTCGTGTGGCCAAAAACACTAATATCGTGATTGTCGTTAGCGACAAGAATGCCAAAGCAAGTCACCTTCCAAGCTCGGAAGATCACCTTGGAGGCCGCTTCTGGGTTGATGCACCTCGAACGAAAAATAGTGGTCGATTCTTGCAACTATACACCGACCACAATTTATATATTAGTCGAACTGCTTTCCACTAAACGTTCACATCGCGTCACCAGGCGCCCACCGAATCCCTCTATGACATTGAACTCAAAATGACCAAATTGCCATCAGCTATAGATGGCGCACATCAGTCCAAGACTGGATTCCAAACATGCTCTAGTGCGCACCCTGGTGCTCATCTTTCCTGCTTCAAAGAAGTTTCTAACCTATAAGCTTTCAGCTTGCATTTTGAACTCGCAGCCTGCAGTCCAACAATACCATGACGAATTGGTCCATTAGTTGTGTGACGAATGCGATCGGTGAGCTGAACGTCGACTGGAATCGTCACAAATGTGACATGAAGAATGATTTTGACGCCTGATGTGCCCCTAACTTGAGGTCCGAACTGTAAATGGATTTCTGAGGCAACAGCCAGTTTGACAGAAGCACGGAAGCAGACAAAAATTGATACTGAGTTTCAGTGTGTTCGTAACGTCCTGAAATGACGACAAACAAGGTGTCTGCGAATTGATCGGGAACGTTGGTGGGTGGCAAGAGTCCGTGAGGTGGAGAAAGTCAGTGCTATTGTGAACAGACAAGTACTATTCCAGCCCATCCGGAACACGGGTCCGAGGAAGTCATTAGTTAGTGAGACAACAGCTGGGAAAGTTGGACAGTTGGTCAATTCTCAGCCTTACCGAACGGCCGTTGAGCAGAAGATTTGAAGAGCAGTTCAGCAGGCTGATTGTGACACTGCCTCTTGCTGAATCACCTGAGCCGACGTGGGATGTTGAGATCACACCTCCCACTTTGGAGGAGATTCGACATGAACTCACCGTGTTGAGATAGAACAATGCTCATAGACCCGACGACCTCTCTTACTCTTTGTTGAAAGATGATGACTCTGTTGAATGAAGTTGCTGCATTAGCTAAC